CCTTCCCCCACAGTTTCTGTTGTTATTTTGCCTTGAGGGGTGTGTGTGTGCGGTTGTGTTGATCATTGCAATCGATTCCCCCTTCCTCCCTAACTCTCCTCACTTCACCCTGCCCTCCTGGTATAGCTACTCTCATTCCTGTTCCTGGATTCCATGTGTCATGAGCTCTTATGTCTTATCTGTACCTGTGCACATGCTCTCCATTTTTGACCTAATTTTATTTTGTTCTAATTTCTAATATTTTCTGCTTTCTGAAAAATTGTTTTTTCTCTGTTTTGTTTTCTTTTGGTTGCGGTGGCAGTTACATAATCTCCTGTCAACTTGTGAAGGGGTGGAGTCTAGCCTGTCAATCAGGTTGCTGCTTGATGACCCCATTTGGAGGCTCCATGGAGATAAATAGCTCACTGGAGGCCAGATATAGACACACTCCCTGCGAGACATTCCTGTTGACAAGCCACATGGAGACACATTAATGGAGCCAGAGCCCTCAAGCAGAAGGAGCCATGTGGAGACCCACGTCAGCACTGAGGTGCTTCCACCACCACTGGATCTACAAGACTTTCCACCCAATGACCTGTGATCTTCCTGCATTTGGCATTATTGAATGGCTGCGTGAGTCTAAAGAGGAATTTATGGACTAGTATCAGACATATGGGCTAATGAGTACAAAAGATAACATTCTAAAATTGATTATGGTAATGATTGTACAACTCTTTTTAATATGATTGAATTAGTGAATTATATGCCACATGAGTTATCTGTCAATAAAACTTAAAAAAATACTTTACTAATCAATAAAATGAAAAGACAATCTAGGGTATATCTTTGGAAACCAAAGGAAGGGGTAACCCCCCCCCCCAAACTGGACTTGTTTTCAAAGCTCTGTATTTAAATTTTTTCTCAAAACAATATTATCGCCTTCAAAATACTCTCCATTACACTTAATACATTTGTCAAATCTGTGATTCCATTCTTGAAAACCTTTATCAAACTCATCTCTTTGGATGGCTGACAGCACCTCTCTCATTTTTTTCTTCACCTCTTCTATGTCATCATATCACCATCCTTCCATGCCCATCTTCATTCGCAGACACAGAAAGAAGTCACACAGGGTGAGGTCAGGTGAGTAAGGTGTGTGGAGCAAGAGAAGCATGCTGCTTTTGCCCCAAACTGGTGGACTAAGGTGGTTGTGTGAGCAGGTGCATTGTTGTGGTGGCTAAACCAGTCCCCTGCCTCCCACAATCAGGCCTTTTTTGTCACACACTGTTACAAAATCTTTTCAGAACCTCTAAATAGAAAGCATGATTAACAGTCTGACCTGGTGGAATTAACTCCAAATGCACTATCCTCCTCATATCAAAAAATCAAATGAGCACTGTCTTGATCTTTGATTTCACTTAGTGTCTTCCACTAGTTTGATTGATGTTTGATGATGGACACTTAAGAACATACCACACCCCCCCACCTAGGGGAAGAAACAATAGAAACCATGGGGGAAGGGAGTCAGCGGTGGATGTAAGATATCAAAATAATAATCATTTATAATTTATCAAAGGGTCACCAGGGTGGGAGGGGAGAGGGAGGGAAAAAAAGAGGAGATGATACCAAGGGCTCAAATAGAAGATAATGATGGCAATATATGTACAAATATGCTTGATACAACTAATGCATAGAATGTTTTAAGAGCTGTAAGGGCCCCCAATAAAATGATCTAAAAAAAAAAGAATAGCACCATGTCTTCTCATCACCAGTAATAACCTTGGGGGCAAAAAAGGCTGGGTCACTTTAGACCTGTTCTTTCAAAGCATGGCCTGTTTCCACTCAAAGCTCTTTTTCCTGGTCAGTCAGAACCTGAGGAACAAATTTCACAGCAATGCTTCTCAGTCCCAAATCTTCCATTAAAATTCGTTCCAAACTAGTCCAGATAATTTCCCCATCACTTCAATGGTCCAACGTTGGTCTTTGAGCACAAATGCATGAATTTTGTCGATATTTTCATCCAGTTGATGGACGTCCAGAATGAAGTTTGTCATCAATCAGCATTGCACATTTTTTGAAATGAGAAAACCACTCATACACTTGAGTTTTTCCCATAGTCCTGTCCTTGTAAGCTGTGTTCAACATCACAAAAGTTTCTGTAGCATTTTTCCTGAGCAGGAAACAAAATTTCACAGCTGCACTTTTGTTCTCTTAAATTGGCCATCACAAAAAGTGAGGTTCGAGCGAAACTGCTTTTGTGAAAAAATTAACTGTAACCAGAGAGAACCTTTCCAGGTGACACCACTGGTTGCACTACCTCAGAGCGAATTGCTTGATGCTCACCTAGCGGGAAAAATGCATACTATGAAAATTCCACCCAGCGAAGCACTTTTCCTTTTTTGGGGGGAGGGAGGCGGTACCCCCTTATATATTCAATGAGAACTAAATATCCCAATTATCAAAGTGGAAAAGAAATTGAATAAATATTTTACCCCAAAGGACATTCAAATGACCACCAAACATGTAAAAATGCTCAGTGGCATAAGCCATCAGAGCAACACAAATAAAAAAGGCATGTGACACCATTTTACTTCTACTAAGTTGGCTGAGAGAAAACAGCACATATTGGAGGTATGCAGGGAAATCAGAACTCTTATCCACTGCTTGTGGAAGTGCAAAATGGTATAGATGTTGTGGAAAACAGTGTGGCCTTTCCTTCCAAGGTCACTGCCATCGAATCAACTCTAACTTACAGGGACCCTATAGGACAGAGTAGAACTGCTCCTGTGGGTTTCTAAGACTGCAAATCTTTACAGTCAGTGTATCAACGATGAAACATACAACTTTCCTCTAGTTCCTAAATGCTTCCTCCCCACTCCCCGCCACTATCATGATCCCAATTCTACCTTACAAATCCAGAGGATGTACACTGGTACAGATAGGAACTGGAAACACAGGGACTCCAGGACAGATGATCCCTTCAGGACCAGTGGTGAGAGTGGCAATACCGGGAGGGTGGAGAGAAGGTGGGGTAGAAAGGGGGAACCAATTACAAGGATCTACATATGCACCCCCCTCCCTGAGGGACAGACAACAGGAAAGTGGGTGAAGGGAGACGTCGGACAGTGTAAGACATGACAAAATAATAATAATGTATAAATTATCAAGGCCTCAAAAGGGAGAGGGTAGCAGGGAAGGAAAAATTAGGAGCTGATACCAAAGGCTCAAATAGAAAGTAGAAAGATGAGGGCAAGAAATGTAAAAATGTGCTCGACACAATGGGTGTATGTATGGATTATAATAAGAGTTGTGTGAGACCCCAATAAAATTATTTTTTTAAAAAAACTTTATCTTTCTCCCATGAAGCAGCTAGTGGCTTATTTATGTCTTTTAGGAGCTTGAAAGTCTGTTCTACATATTCCTCCCATCCCACCAGGGTTAATTTATTGTGGATCTGATAAGAATGGTTTGTAGTGGTAGCCAGTCACCATCTACTTTTTCTGGTCTTGGGATAGATGAGATGATTCCTGTGGGATATTTGTCCTGTAGATCAGTTTATTCTTTAAATCTTTGGTTTTATTCTTAATCGTTTGCTGTAGATAAGCAGAGACAAATAACCGTATCTTAGAGGGTCACTCACAATTGTTTAAAATCCCAGTCATGACTTACCAAATTAGGATATACAACATAACCTTATCGACTATATATGCCAATTGACCATCCTTAACCTTTCTGATAGATGTTCGTCCCTATGTTTTCTTCCTTTGTTTGCAAGATAAGTTTTGCATCATAGCTGCATTCAAGGCAAGAAGAATGGTAGAAGGGAAAAAGGACACACAAACTGAATCTGTCTCCTCTATTCAATAAAGCAAAATCATTCTCTGAAGTGCAAATGGGGAAATGACAAAAATAAAAGTTCAAAATGACATTTCAAAGAGAAAGCATAAGTGCAAGTCTTTTTTCAGAACTCTGTACAGGGTGGGGAAAGAATATTGGGTTACAGGTTGAATACAACTAATACAAGTCAATTGGTTGAAATTTCACCTGCTCTGTATGCCTAACTTAAAAAGAATTTATATTGACTGGTAATCAACTTTAGCCAATTTCTTGCTTTCCTCAGTTGCTTCCTGCAATAACTTGGGTGGGCTACCTCAAAATGTATCAGAACACATTATTTTGATGAAGAGTCACGGTCACCTACTCTAAAAATCAGAAGCAGTAGCCTAGAACAAATGGATTTGATTAATTTCTGTGTCAAGTATTTTGATTATGTCAAGTGCATTAGATTTAGAGTATCCATTCACTGTGTTTATATAGAAATGAGCTAACTTGGGAAGAGGCAAATGTCAAGAAAGGCAAATACAGAAAGTAGGAAACTGATGGAAGTGTATATATGCTTGGAAGGTTGCTTGTGTATTGGAAAGAAAGGTTTAAGCTGATATTAATGAATGAGAGGGGCCTCAGAGAGAATGAGCAAATCTGCCTGTTCCTAAGTGGAGGAAGTCCAATTTCATTGTCCAGAACTTCTGGAAGTGTTAAAGAGTAGTGGTGATTTGAGCATTTTCCCCTTGTTCCTGACTTTAGAACATATACAAAGTATACTGTAAAGTTAGTTTTTGGTCTGAATAAAAACATTTAAGATTATTCAGGTAAGTAAGTAGGCATCTATTTCTAATTTATTAGTTTGTTTTCAGGAATAAAAAATAGAAATTTCCAGCACCAAAATAATGCTTTTTTTCCTTTGCCCTATTAAAATGAATATGTTTCTTCTGGGGATGCTGTGTGGAGGCATTATCAAATGGTTCAGTGTCTGACCTAAAAGCATAGGCTGTCCTACAATACAACCGCTAACAAAACTAGGCTGTCCAGAAACCCTGGTAATAAAATTGTTTATCTTTATACAAAGAAGATTAGTAAAATACCAAAATCTACATGTTTTGTGTGCCTCGGCTGATTTTGAGGGGTCTGTGCTGTGAGACCTAAATTCTGCAGAGACAGTTCAAAACAACAACCAAAAAACCATGTCAGCAAGGGCCTATGATGGTGGTTCCATGTGTGCTAAATGTGCCCGAGACTGGATCAAGCATGCTTTTCTAATTGACAAGCAGAAAATCCTTGTGAGAGTGTTGAAAAGTACAAGCACAGAGTCAGAAAGGTAACTAAATACAAATGAAGCTTTTTAGACTAATAAACAAATCAAAATAAAATAAAATGAATAATTATGCTACTATATTTCCTGTTTCTTTAATAATCTTTATATTTTTGAGGAAAATTCTACTTGATCATGAGGTATTGGTGTATCTGCTCGATTTGATTTGCCATTTAATATGTTTGTATCTATATTTATGAGACTAATGTATAGTATTCTTTTCTCATATTATCTTTATTGGGTTTGATAGTATGATTACACTAGTTCCCTAGAATAAGTTTTTGAACTTGCATTTTTCTTGTCTCTGGAAAACTTTGCAAAATATAGTTTGGGTTCATATGAAGCTGCAGCACTTTAGGGATTGGGGGATAGATTTTGACAAATTTTTGAAAAATACATTGTATGGTTAAAGTTTCAGCTTGTGAGTAAAGTTGATAGCTCTGGATAATTCTTAATTGAAAGTCAATGAACAGTTCCTCTGATACTTTATAGACCATCCCTCAGTTGCTTTCCCATAGGCAACCACTGACTTGGGTAGTCTTCTGAATATCCAAGGGAATTCAAAACGTTCGTAGAAAATGGAATTAAAATATAAAAATAAAAGCACAAACTCTATTTCTCAACATACACTCCATCAAAATAACTCTAAAGAATTCCTCTAAAGAATTGAGGGTACTGGGAATGCAATCATAGTCCTAGTTATAGAAAATAGTTGATGTTTATATCATGTTTGTGGAGATACAGATTTTTAAACTTTTTTGGAATATTTTTCCAATGTGATTATCTACTTCTTCAGACAAGTTTAATTATTCCTTTCCTCAGGAAATTGTCCATTTTCCTGAAACTTTATTTTCATACCGTTGTATATATTCTTTTATAGTTTTTAAGGCCTCATATCTGTTGGCCTGATTTTTAATCTGTTACACAAATATTTGTGCAAGCGTTGAAAATGTGCTTGGTTTAAAGGAAGTGGATGATTTTTAAAATATTAAACAAATAAACTAACAATAATGTAAACAGCCTTAGCCTGAGTATTTAAAAACATGTTCATGTCCTATCTCCTTCTACATTCTATCTTCTTAAACTTATTACTTGGATGCTTTCTGGATTGCCAACCCAAAAATCCAAACTATAAATCCAAAAACATAAAGCACTATTTCATACCCATTCCCTTACTCTGCTTTTTAAATGTGAGAAAATTGGTATTTACATGCTGAGAGGGCATCTAAGTATCCTGAATATTGACTTTGGTGACAAATGCCTATTGTTGCTTTAACCTCATCTTAACCCAGCAGTTCTCAACCTGTGGCTTGCGACCTCTTTGGGGGTCGAACGACCCTTTCACAGGGGTCACCCAAGTCATAACAGTATCAAAATTACAGTTATAAAGTAGCAACGAAAACAATTTTATGGTTGGGAGGTCACCACAACATGAGGAACTGTATTAAGGGTCGAGGCATTAGGAAGGTTGAGAACCACTGAACCCTGTAGCCCAAGTGGTATAGTGGTTCAAGTGTTGGGCTGCTAACCTCAAAGTCAGCAGTTCAAGATCACTAGCTGCTCTGTAGGAGAAAGATAAGGTTTTCTACTCCTGTAGAGATTATGGTCTTAGAAGCCCACATGAGCAGTTCTACTCTGTCTTATAGGGTCCTATAAGTTGGAATTGACTCAATGGCATTTGAGTTTGATTTTTAAGGCTAGGACCAATTCAGACTTCTGTCAGAAACATTGAGAAAGCCAAAGGATGAGGTAGAGAAGAGTTGGGACATGGAAAGTTTTTTTGTTTTACTTTTACAATAGCTATCCATTTACTAGTAATTTTGAAAGTTGAAGTGGAATTACATTTTTGCCTATGTATACAGACTTCCTCCCTTTTGCTTAAAGGGGTAAGGAAGAGAAAAGGAATTTTGGAGGTTGGTGTAGAGCTAGTAAGAGTATAACCAAATCAAATTCACTGCTATCAAGTGAATTCCCACTGAAAGTGACCCTAAAGGACAGAGTGGAACTGCCCCAAAGGGTTTTCAAGACTGAAACCCAGTGCCAAATCGTTCTACTGCGGAACCGCTGGTGGTTTCCAATGGGGATTTAATCACGCACTATCTGGAGCCAGCATAAAACCAAAAGCAAAGCAAACCAAAATCTTCGCGGACATCAAGTCTATTCTGATACATGGTAATCCTATAAAACAAGACTATAATCTTGTAAGACAAGACTAGAATTGCTCTCCTTGGATTTCCGAGGTTGTAAATCTTTATGGCAGCAGAAAACCTCATCTTTCGCCTGTGCAGCCAGTATTAAAAAACAAACTCACTGCCATCGAGTTGGTGATTGCCCCTATAAGACGGGCAGGATAGTAGGGTGGCAGGGGCGGAGAGAGCAAGTAGGGAGGGCCTCAATCTTTTCTTAGTGAGCACTCAAACTAGAAGTTTTTTGCAGCACGGGCGAGGAAGACGCTTTTCCTGTGCAGTACAGTGTTTGGAGTAGGGGCACTCAGCCAAGTAAGAGCCGGAAAGCGGTGGGTGCAGGGGGCTGAAAGGACAAAACAGGGTTTGCAGAACGACAAAGTATTCCGATAATCGAGGAAACACTTTAGTGTCGTCCACGTCCCAGAAGAGGCGTGGCGAGACACGCCTTCCTAACTTTACGCCGGAGGGCAAAGGACAACCGAGGGACCGCCCACTAGCTGTGTTACCAGGCACCTTTCGGTGACGCTGTCGCCGCGCGATGACGTAAACCGGCCGCGGGCTCCACGTCTCAGGTTCCGCAAAGGCCTGTGGCAGCAGTCTTGGGGAAGGACGGCCAATATGGCGGAAGTTACTGAGTCTCCGGAAGATAGAAGTATAGCATCTTCCAAGCCCCTGGTGAGTTTGGGATTTACAACAAAGGGGTTAAAGTTAAGGCAGGCTGTCGGGTACAGGCTGTTCGCCTGGGAGAGCTGGCACCCTTTACTTCCATCAGGTCTTGATGCCAAGACCAGTCCGAACAGCATCCCCATTCTAATCCACGTCTGTTTAACAAGATCATCGAATTATGTTTTCCTCGTTCTTTTTCCTTTCTTGTACTTTCAGGGCTTGAGCCCGTTTCCTACATTGTGCTAAATGCTGAGTTTTGATCGTGTCTTAAATATCTTTTCTTCTGGCCCTCATTTTGTCAAGACCTGTCCCTAGCCCTTGTCGGATTAGCAACATTTTAAGACGGAGATTGCTTCGCTACTTGTTAACGTTTTGTTACTTGTAAATTGATTTTTTTATTTACGCCGTGACTGTTGGAGGCTTAGATAGAATTCCTGCTATCCCAGTCGCAACTCCTTCCCACATTTTGCAGGCTACTCCCTTACTTCTGTCCCAAAGCATGCACCAGTGAGAGCATAGTTGCTGGTGTTAGATCTGGGCTGGAATCTTCCACTGTGCTGTTTGTATGAATTTGGGCTAGTCATTTAATAAAGGGTGTTTTTTTACTTATAAAATGGAGATAGTCTTGAACATTCTTTTTTTATATATAAATCAATTTATTGGGGGCTCATACAACTCATCACAATCCATACATCTATCCATTGTGTCAAGCACATTTTTACATTTGTTTCCCTCATCATTCTCAAAACATTTGCTTTCTACTTGAGCCCTCGGTATCAGCTTCTCATTTTTTTCCTGTAAGGGGGATGTCCAGTTGCACTCCCCCTCATTCACAGTGATATGATTTTTTTGTTCCAAACTGCTGATTTCTTTGGGGGCCTTGTCACCATAAACTTTTGCAACATATAATTGATTTAACCACCTCCCCTCCCCACCAGCATCATTGTAAATTTGATGTTTGTTCTTGCTTCAATTTCAATAGAATTCATGTTGCTCTGATAGGGGTTCTTTTCAAATTGATGTTTTTTATCCTTCTTAGTGCCTCAGACTAGATCCTGTTCAGACAAGTAAGTATGAGTTTATATTAGTGCAAATACTTGTGAAATTAATTCTTAGTTCTTTTCATAATACTAGTTTACATGAACTTTTAAGGACCCTTTTGACTTTAGAGGGCTTGAAAGGATAAGTAGGATTTGGGAGTACAGGTAAGTAAGTGTACTAGGTATCAATTTTTTGAGCTCCTGCTATTTGCTGATTATTTGTGCTGAATATTTTCTAAACTCTACAGCAACATTTTTAGTTAGGTGGTTTTAACTATGTCTTACAGATGAGGAAATGAGATTCAGAGAAGGCCTGGTGATTTCTTTAGTGCAGTGGTTCTCAACCTTCCTAATGCTGTGAACCTTCAATACAGTTCTTCATGTTGTGGTGACCCCCCCAACCATAAAATTATTTTCGTTGCTACTTCATAACTGTAATTTTGCTACTGTTATGATTCAGGCAACCCCTGTGAAAGGGTCATTCGACCCCCAAAGGTATTGCGACCTGCAAGTGGAGAACCGCTGCTTTAGTGTATCACAACTATTTATTCGCCATGCCTGAAGTTTGAACCTAGGGTTGTCTCTGAAGTTTGTATTATTTCCATTGATTCTGCACAGCCTCCAGTTGGCAGAGGCATATATGTTGGAAGGTGCTAATATACTTTTTGAACAACAGATCACTTTGGCTGAATCATAAAGAAAGAATAGGAGCTAAACCTTAAAGCTACGGCTACTGAACTAGGCATACAGTAAGTAGCCATGGTTAGGTATGTTTTCTCTGGAGTCATACTGCCTAGGGTTGGCTTTAAGTCCTGCGACATTAGGTGCTGTGAAGTTGACCCACGTGACCCCATGCACAATAGAATGAAACACTGTCTAGTCCTCTACCTTCTCCATGATTAGTTGCAGATTGAACTATTACAGATCGGTTTATTTGAAGTAGATTTTCAGGCCTTTTGTTGTAGCATGTCTTAGTCTGGAAACTCCATTAAACCTATCCAGTCTCATGACAATGTTGGCTCCACTGCCTATAGCAGCTGTGCATTTGGCCAGGAATAGAACCTACGTCCTGCATTGAAGGCGAGAATTCTACCAATGAACTGCCAGGACCCCTTTCTCTGCCATACACTAACTAGAATATTGAGGAAAATTATAAAAGCCCATATGTAAAATGGAGATATAAAGAAACTTATTTAGCTCAGAATTGTTAGGTGGTTAGAGTGAGTTGACACATGTAAAGCACATTAGAGTGCCTGGCAAATAATAATCATACAATAAGAGTTATTTTATTATTAACTGTTAGGTTGGATGGCTTAATAGGCAACAAGGAGCTAGAAAGTTTTTAGCGGGGCAGGGCTTAAAATCTTGGATTTGGCATCATAATAGAGCAGCGCTTCTCAATCTGGGTTGTGACCCCTTTGGGGGTTAAACAACCCTTTCACAGGGGTTGCCAGATTCATAACAGTGGAAAAATTACAGTTATGAAGTAGAAACGAAAATAATTTTATGCTTGGAGAGGGTCAACACAACATGAGGAACTGTACTAAAGGGTCGCGGCATTAGGAAGGTTGAGAACCACTGTAGAGGAGGAAGTACAGTGGAGAATGGTTGGAATCTGAGGTATTGCAGTAGTTCAGGGAAGATGTGATAGGAAAATGAGTAGAGCAGTGATGTGAGACATAAGAAAGGACAGAATCCTTGAGGGTTTGTTGTGCTAGGGAAAATGTATCTTGAATTAGTGCTTCTCAAGCATTAATGTGCGTAGGAATTACCTAAGGAATCTTATTAAAATGTAGATTTTGATTTACTAGATCTTAAGTGGGGCTAGTGTTTCTGCATTTCTCACAAGCTCTCAGGTGGAGGTGGTTCTCCTGCTCCTGTTTCTCCTGATTCCATTCCCACACTTTAAAACTAGACAGCTGGGAGGACAGTGATACCTTGAACAGAAGCAGACAACCTATATTGAGAGTTGGCTGGATGAGTACCCTAAAAGTTGATTCATTCAATTCTGGCCATGCTTAGTTTGAGATGCTGGCAGGCCACCAATAGATCTCCAAAGAGTTTTAGACTTTTATACCTAGGCTTCAGAAAATGTCAGGACTAGAGATGTTAATTTAGTTGTCATCTACAGAGAGATTTGAGTTGAAAAGACAGAATCTTGGGTAATGTCTCTCTATATTTAGGGAGCCAGGAGAAAGCTATAATAATGACTGCCACCTGGTGAAGGGTTGGCTGGAGCCTATGCTATTAGCTACTCCTCCACTCTCTTTATCCGAACCAGACCTCGTTAATTAAGCTGATTCCTGTTTGATGCTTGCATAGCTGGCCCCATACATCCCTTTTCCCCTGCCTTTGTTGACTTCATTCAGGATTTTGAGCAATAATATTTCCCATTTGCTCCCAGTCACTTTTTGAGGACTGCGATTTCTACACTTACTGTATATTTTTGGCCCTGCCTCTACTACCTCCTCTCATTGTGCCAAGCCAGTAGCAAAATGTGCACGTTCATTTCTTTGCACACATGTACATTTATATTCATGAGCCTGCCTGTACATGAAGAAGGGGAGGAACATGAGGGTACAACTCACCTTCCTTACACACTGAGCCCTAGTTAGAGAATAAGGCTACTAGCTGCAGGCCTGGAAGCCCTGTCTGGTTACAAGGGTTTGGAGGGCTTGTAGATCCTGGCTCAGTTTGTTGCACATTATTGCTAATTCTAAGAGGAGGTATTAAGGATGGTGTGGGACAGGGCATGCAGTGGAGCTCACATGGCAGTTCAATAACAACTGGAAATGACTTTTGGGGGCTAACATTAAGTGCTGCACATATATTAATAAATTTCTTCCTCACAGTAACCCTGTGATGAAGGTTTCATTAACTCAATTTTATAGATGGAGGAACTAAAACACACTGGTTAAATACACTGTTGTATGAGTAAGTTGTAAGTTACATGTATACATGATAGGACTAAGATTTGAATCCATACTGTTCAGTTCTAGGAGCCTACAACTGAAAGTGACTTGCAGGTGTTCTCTCTTTTAAACATTCTCACTGTTGTTTCCGTGTGACTGGAGATTCAAGTAGTGTTTGGCTTCAAAGCCCATTCTTAATAATATGCCTCCCTAGCAGTAGCAGACAACAAGGAACTTTCCAAACAATTTCAATTGAACAAACAATCCCAGAGTTTGAAAGTGCAGTGTCATAGTAGTGAAGAGAAAATAAGACCTCTAAAATGGTGATTGGCGCATTTAATGTTGTAATTCAAAGAGGAGGACTACAGAAAGAATCCCTATAGTTGATGATTTTAATGATTATGAGGTCAGTATTAAAAAACAGTGTCAGTAAAGTTAGGAGATCAATGCCATAGAAGAGATGATCAGGAAAGAGGAGAGGGAATGGCAGAACAAGAAAAAATATTTACAGAAGCTTCAAAAGTGCCAGTGGGTGGGTGTGGGTGGTGGGTGGGTGGGTGGTTTCTGGGCTATTAAAAGATAATGGAATTTTTCCATGGACTTTTGGAAGTTTCTTTATATAGATATATGGAAGCATTTAAATACATTAAAAATAAAAGCTTCCATATATATATATGGAAGCATTCAAATACATTAAAAATGAATGTATAATGAACCCTATGTGCCCATTACCCATCTTTAATAGCTATTAACATTCTGCTAGTCTTTTATTTTTAACATTTTATATTAGGTAAAGGCTATTGTGAATAGTGCTGCAATGAACATGGGTATGCATATTTCTGTTTGTGCTGTAGTTCTTATTTCTTTAGGATATATCCCAAATAGAAGGACTGCTGATCATATGATATTTCAAGTTCCAATTTCCACAGTGATTTTGCCATTTTACAGTCCTACAAACAGTGTATGACAGTTTCAGTCTTTCCACATCCTCACCAGCATTTGTTGCTTTCTGTTTTTTTTGGACTTTGCTATTAATGATGGGGTGAGATGATATATC